GTCATAATCAAGGTCGAGGGACCGAAATGTTTAACAATGCGGAATGAGATAAAATCTCAATAAGTAAACTGCCTAAGCCTCGACTAAGGCAATACGTACCTCCGGCACCCTAATCATGTAATTCTAACCAATAGGGTAAGTTCCTATCAAACGAACAATGGTACCACATACTATGCAAAGTCTCGAATTGCATCACAATCATGGCTTACTATCAATATGCATAATAGCAATAATAATAATCCAAACATACTCAATTATTCACACGAGTCTCTATTATAAGATGAAATCACTTCGGCCCATCCCATACCGTGCCTCACTATTTTATCCCATAATCAAGCTCAAAGCATGCCATATGCACATAACACTCGAAGTTGTCCAGATTATTAACGACCCACCATAGGTCACACCGAACTCCCTCCGGTCTTCCGGCATAGCCAGGCATCACCCCACTACTTTGGGCGTGGTGACGTCCGGGATCGAACCCCCCCCTCCCGAGATAAGTCGGGTACCGGACGGCATTCCATTTAGGAGCATCGATCTGGCCTCCACCGCGATCAGCAATGTCTGGGATCGAACCCCCCCTGACAAGTCGGGTACCAGACAGCATCCGAACTACCGCCGGGCATCGTCTAGAACTCGTCTTAGACGAAACTTATCATGGCCATACACGTAAACAACCACGCATCGCCAATTTTAATCTTCCTTAATTAGCCAATGCAAGTATTTATGACGTATAATTTACTACGAATAAATATGCCATGAATCGCACTCGTTTCTTTTAAATGTCCATTTCAACCATACGATCTTCGTTCTAGGCCACGAAATCATCATTCCAACCACACGATCAAGCCATAGTCAACTACTCAGCCATGATTAAATAAATTAATCATACGATTAAACACTTTAACCATGCGATCGGCATTAAACAACTAATCCACCACACGATCGTCATTAAACATTTAATCAGCACATAATCGACTAATTGGCCATGCAATGGTCAATCAAAGCTACACTATCAACTTCAAATCTCTAATAAGCCATATCATCAATTATATCACATCCTAATTTAATTTAAACCGTACGATCAAAATTAGCACATAATCATGTTAATTAAGCCCCAAAATTAACATTAACCAATCTAGAATCAATTGGGGCCATATGATCAATGTCCAAATCATCCAATTCAGCCTCTACCACATGATTATTGCAGCCACAAGACTAACCCAAGAATTTAATTAAAACAACCAATAAACAATCATAATTAGCCAAATTAAGCACAATTAGCAACATTAAACATATGCTCAAGCTCAAATCACATAATCTACCTATCTTAACATTCAAATCAGCCATATAATCATCAAATCCAGCCACCAACAAATTCTCAATTCAGCATCTACCATAACCCCTAAATTAACCCCTAAAATAACCCCTAAATTACCCTAACAACCCCTAAACACTATCCATTGGTAACCTACTAACCTAATCAAGGTTTAGGGAGTTACTTACCACTAATTTAAGCTAGAAACTAAGCCAAAACCAGCAGCACCAGTCACGGCCAGATCTGGAATTTCCGGCGAACGGCGGCGGCCAAACGGCGATCCGGCGAACGGCGGCTGATCCGGGCGTGATCGACGGCTTGGGGGCTGGCTCACAGTGGTCCACGGCGGTCCAGAGGTGGTGGCGTGAGGTGCAACGGCAGTGGACGGCGGTGGTGAGTGAGTCTCGGCCAAGGGGGAGAGAGAAAGAGCAAGGAGAAAGTGAGGAGAGAGAGAAAGAGGGCTGAAACTTCAATCAAGATCAAGGGTTGAGATGTGTTCTTGATGCCTAAGCAAAGATCTAAAGGCTAGGATCAAGTCTTGCTCTCCAAATTCCATCCAAAGGCCAATATTAAATCTTGCAAAAATGTTTCTAGAAGGGCAATTATGTAAATAACCAAAAAGGGCAAGGGCAAAGTTGTCCAAGAGGATTTTCGGCCACTAGGGGAAAAAGACCAACATGTCTTTCCACTCAACAATTAAACTCTAGAACACACAGAGGTAAAATCGTCTTTTCCAATTTCCGAGCCAAATTTCCCTTTTTCGCGAATTTCTGAGCAAACCGATAATAAAGCGAGCTTAACGCGGCGGCGTCCAATATAATAATTTTGATATCCTTGAAAGTTCGATACCCAAGTTCGGATTCCAATTCGTGGCCAAAATCGATCAAACGCGACTTTCGTGTATCTCAAACTAACGAGCGGCTTTTAGGGTTTACGCGTGTCGACCCGTGGTTGATTTGATATCAATCCACGTTTAAGTTTACTCGAGTCATGGCGACTTCGGTTGTGATGTAATTACGAGAGTTAATCATTAGTTCCGAATGACACGATCGTTAGAAATTGATTTTGGAACGTTCGGAATGCATACAACGATTAAACGGAATCACCCGTGACTCAATTGTATAACATTGTTAAATTGTTCCATAATCATTCTTAGATCGGCCTATAATGGCCCAAAATATCCCCTCGTCAATCCTTATGGTCGAAGTATCGATCCAGCTTCGTGTTCTTGGGTCGTGCGTACCGAAATCCTAACTAGCCATTCCCTAACGGTTAATATTCTCAAGAATGGCCAATTCCGAGTGAGATATAACAGAAAGTGCATTGATGATAATATCATTTCATAAATCCCAAAAGTGGGTCGAAATTCAAAATGTCATACAAATTCTTGCAAATTTGTGACCCACAATCAGTTTTGGAGTAGAATCAAGAATAAAAAAAAGGTAGCTTCTTGATTCTGGGAACAAAAATGAGAATCAATTTTTTTTTCTTCTTCTTTTTCTTGGTTTTTAATATAATTTCTAATGTCCGGCGCGAGGGCCACTCTCGCCGTATCTGGCGAGATTAAAATATTTAATAATAAAATATTATTAAATATTTTATTATTAAAATATTTTACTGGCCATGACCAAAAAAAATTATTTTACCAGTCATGGCCAGCGACTAGGCCATGAAAAAAAAAATATTATTAATGAAAAAATATTTTATCGGCCATGGACGGCGACCCGGCCATGACAAAAAAAAAGGAAAAAATATTTTAATAAAAAATATTGTTAATAAAAAAAAATATTTTACCGGTCATGGCCGGCGTCTAGGCCATGGCAAAAAAAATAAAAAAAAATATTTTCAATAAAAATATTTTTTATTAAAATATTTTAATAAAAAAATTTATAAAAAAAATTTTACCGGCCATGGCCAAAAAAATAAAAAAATTATTTTAAATAAAAGTATTATTAATTAAAAAAAATTTTACCGGCCATGGCCAAGAAGGAGGAGAAGAAAAAAAGAAAAGAATGAAATATTAAAATATTTAAAATATTATTAATAAAAAGAAATTTTATGCCGTTACCAAACGCATTTCTGTTCTTTTACTATTTCAGGAATAGAAATTTTGGGCCATTACCAAACGCCTTCAAATGCTCAGAATCAATTCCCGGGCACAGAATAAAAAAGAATCATTTCTGACCAGAATCTGTTCCCGGGCACAGAATGATTGCCATGCGCAACCTTAATAAGAAACAAAGAGAAATGAACTCCCGTAGGACATAGAAGGATCTGGTTTGATGTGATAGAAATAGACTTGAGCTGATGAAGATGATGAAGAGAACTGCTTGGACCTTATGGGCAAGTCCATAAGTTCAGTGCTCCATCATCATTCAAATTTCAAAGCACTCCGAATTGGACCGGGCCGAACTACTTTCAAGCCTTTCTTGTTTTCTTATTGGGAGGAGCCACCGATCATCTTGAAGGTTAGGAAAGGACAAATCACGATCAAAAGATCTTTTGTCTGTCTCCAATTTGCCTGGATGCGATCTTTTTCGTAAAGAAAATTGAATTTTTCATATTATGAACTGATTTAGACACGAATTTTTGTCTCATACCAGACAACCATGACCACCATTGTTAAGGTTTGACTTTTTAAATGCCATGGTAGCTACGTCGTCGGACCAAAATGAGTTTACTCTAAACTAGGATTAACCCACAGAGACAAAAATGTCTCTCTTGGGACCCTTCTTTAGCTTCTTTTTTTGTGCGAAGTACTTTTCTACCTTTTATTTTTCTTTTTCTTTTCTAGTCAAATAGAGTTTTTTTTTTTTGGCCACATATCCTCCATTTTGTTTGGCAGGATGGTTTTAATTTGATAAACAATCTTAATGTTTGCTTCCATGATTTGCGGAGAAGCACACTACAGCTTAATTCATCAATATTAAGTTGCATAGTTATGATGAAGACAGTTAGTGGGAAGATTTTATTTTAACAAATCAAATTGGATTAACGCACCTTGCCCTCTCTCTTCTTTTTGCAACTTGTCTATAAGTCAAGCGAAAATTCACCTTCATGACCCCAAAGGAAGATCTTTTCTTGGGCAAAATCCATAATTTATTGGATTGCTCATTGCTACTTCAAGCTTCTTTTTTGGCATGGCCTTACACACAACAATCAAACCCCTTTAATTTAAAACATAGAAATCACACTATAAAAACCTTTCCTCTCCCAGAAGCTCCTAGGCAGAGCCAAAGGGAAAACACAAGGTACAATACAAACTCGAAAGGATCTTGACAATAGCATTTAGGCGCAAACATCGGGGTTAGCCACAAGGTACTCCTCAACAGCCTTGTACAATCCCATAGCTCTGTCTTTACCCTTCTTGATGTCCTCTTCCTTGAGCTCACAACCTTCCTGAACATGGTACTCGCTGGTCATCTTGCAGACGCATCCGCTGCCAGCCGCGACGAACTTCACTTCTTCCACAACGCAATCGATCTTGTCAAACTTGATGTCACTTTCAATCATGGTATATTTGCAGTAAAAGCTACCTGCATCGAGAGCATCGATCTTGTGCTTCATGTACTTGATGTGGGAGCCTGTTATGTGAATTTGTTAAAGCGAAGCAGTTAATTCTTAATTCCGAGATCTCTATATATACTTGACATGGTAGAAATATGAATATGATCCGACTTACTTTCACCGAAGTTGGTTTGCTTAATGCTACCAACTCCGCCATCTCCCTCGATGAACTCGACGCTCTTGATGCCCCCGGGAACGATCTTGGGTAGGATATGGGAGTCAAGGAACAAAGCCTTGAACATCCTCGATGGTGCAACGACACTTGTGATCTCCTGCGAGTAGGTGACAACTCCCATGTTGGCCTCGTAAGAAACAAAGAGAACTGAACTCAAGAAGGGTGGGAGAAGGGTTTGATGTAATTGCTAATGGAGAAGGCTTGAGCTGATGAAGATGATGAAGAGAACTACTTGGTACTTATTGGCACGTCCTCTCTTTAGTACTCCATCATCATTCAAAGTTCAAAGCACTCCCAATTGGACCGAGCCGAACTACTTTCAAGCCTTTCTTGTTTTTTTATTGGGAGGAGCCACCAATCATCTGGAAGGATAGGAAAAGTACAAATCACGATCAAAGCTCTATTGTTTGACCGTAATGATAACAACGTGAGGTATTGCAATTAATAAGATATTACTTATTCATTCGCAGACATTTGGGCCCATTACGATAGTCTGTACTTGGTGCACCACCTCTCTAGAAAAAGTAATTCAAATCGAATGTTTTGATCATACTGTGAATCATCCATTTTCGTTGAAACAACAGCGTAAAATAAGTGAGTCTAGATATATTAGACATGAACTTTAAGTTTGATACCAGATAACCATGACCACCGTTGCTAAGAGTATAACTCTAGGTTCGTTCGTTGCGCTATCAAGGACAGTCACGGAAATAAGTTTAGGTGCCGATTCTCTTGGGGAAAGGCCAGACTCCTAGCTCCCATAGTCAGATCAAAGGCTGAAATTTAATATAAATGGTCCATGAAAAGATAACAAAGGAGCCACGGATATAATTGCACGATCGGCTAACGACTCAATAGTCCAACCTTGGACAAGAAGAGAACGTAGGAACTCATCGATGGAAGTGTTAGCGGTAGCTCTTCTTCTCATCTGCAATTATGCTAAGTCCCTTGGCATCCGAAAAGTAATTTTTCAAACCAATTGCAATGTCTTAATTGATGTTATCCAACAAAACAATCTTTGCCCTCAGTATTCAACCATCTTTTTTCAACACAATCCAGATTAGAGTTAAGCTTGGACTCGTAAACCCAGCTAATAGAGCTACTCATACGCTTGTAAATTGGGCTTTTGATGAAGTGGGAATCGTATTTTCTTTTCTTTTTCACAGTCTATCATTTAAAGTTAAAAATATTACATTAGTAGAGCCTTCTTTAATTTATTATTCTGACGTCGGTACTGCATCCTGTTTGTACTCTGTAATGCTTTGAAATGAAAAGTTACCTTTAGAAAAAAAAAACAGTGGCGAAGCTCTTTTTATTTATTTTTTTAATCGAAACGGATCTGATTTATTTTGCTTCTGTTTACAAAAGGCAATTTTGCTAGTTTGACTTTTCAAATGCCACTATAGCTAAGTCATCGAATCGAAATGACTGTACTCTAAACTTGGATTAACTCGTATAGACAAATGTCTCTATTATGACCGTTTTTTTTTTAAAATTTGTTTCTACCTTTTATTTTTCATCATTGCTAGTCAAATTTTCTCCATTTTTATTTGGGAAACAATGCTTGCTTTTCATCTGACGATAATCTATCTAACTTAGGAAAAGTAGGGATAAATGCTTTGAAAATCCTAAAACTATTCACAAAATGCTATCAAGTTCTAAAACTTTCATATAGTAAATCAAGTTCTAAAATTTATCACAAAAGTGCAATTGAGTCCTAAAACTTTCAAAAAGTGCAATCAACGGAAAGATTTAATTCAAACGATTTGACAAGTTTTAGCACTTGATTACACTTTTTGAAAGTTTTCGGTCTCAATTGCACTTTCATGACAAGTTTTAGGACTTAATTGCACTTTTTGAATGTTTTAGGACTCAATTGCATTGTCATGATAAGTTTTATGACTTATAATGCACTTATCCCAGAAAAGTATAATGAAATGCTCAATTTTCCCTTGCGCTTCATTTTGCCCCTACATCTCTTCTTTATGCAACTCATCTATGAATCAAGTGAAAATTCACCTTCATGACCACAAAGGGAGATCTTTTCTTGGGAAAAATCCATAATTTATCGGATTGCTCATTGCTCCTTCCAGTTTTATTTTTTGGCATGGCCTTACCCACAACCTTCAAACCCTTTATGACATACCAATACACACGATAAAAAACCTTTCCTCGCCCAGATGTTCTGAGGCAGAGTCAAAGGGAAAATAGAAGATACAATACAAACTTTCCACTCACTTTACCCTATCATCACTCAGAAAGGATCTTGAGAAAAGCATTTAGGCGCAAACACTGGGGTTGGCCACGAGGTACTCCTCAACAGCCTTGAACAGTCCCATGGCTTTGTCTTTGCCCTTCTTGATGTCCTCCTCCTTGAGCTCACAACCTTCCTTGACGTGGTACTCACTAGTCATCTTGCAGACGCATCCGCTGCCAGCCGCGATGAACTTCACTTCTTCCACGACGCAGTCGATCTTGTCGAACTTGATGTCGCTTTCGATCATGGTATATTTGCAGTAAAAGCTACCTACGTCGAGAGCATCAATCTTGTGCTTTGTGTACTTGATGTGGGAGCCTGTTATGTAAATTCATTAAAGTGAAGAAGTTAGTTCTTAATTCCGAAGTCTATATATGTACTTGACATGGTAGAAATATGAGTATGATCCGACTTACTTTCACCGAAGTTGGTTTGCTTAATGCTACCAACTCCACCGTCTCCCTCAATGAACTCAATGCTCTTGATGCCCCCAGGAACAATCTTGGGTAGGATATGGTGGGAGTCGAGGAACATAGCCTTGAACAGCCTCGATGGTGCGATGACACTTGTGATCTCCTGCGAGTAGGTGATGACTCCCATGTTGGCCTTGTAAGAAACAAAGAGAACTGAACTCGAGAAGGGTAGGGGAAGGGTTTGATGTGATTGATAAAGGAGAAGGCTTGAGCTGATGAAGATGATGAAGAGAACTACTTGGTACTTATAGGCAATTCCACAGTTTAGAACTTCATCGTCATTGAAAGTTCAAAGCACTCCGGATTGGACCGGCCGAATTACTTTCGAGCCTTTCTTGTTTTCATATTGGGAGGAGCCACCGATCGTCTAGAAGGTTACGAAAAAAGGACAAATCACGATCAAAGCTCTTCTGTGTGGCCATTATTATAAGAACCTAAGGTGAGGTATTACAATTAATGAGAAATTGCATATTCAATCGCAGACATTGTGGGCCCATTACGATAGTCTATACTTGGTATACCGCCTTTCTAGAAAAGGGAAAAGTATCACCTATTGTATTGATACGAATTCAATCCTAAACATTTCAATTAAGATAATTTAGTCATAAACTTTTTATATTTGTACCAATTGAGTGCATTCGGTCAATTTAGGCTAGAATTGGTGACGTGGACACCAGTCGTCCTACATAACACGACCAACGCTGACGTGGAAATTTTTAACAATTTTTTAATAATTTTTTCAAACTTGTTTATTAATTTTTCTTTTCCTTTTTCCTTGTTTTATTTTTATTTTCGTTTGTGGCAGGTCAGTGTCACCAAAGCTCGCCGTCCACTAGGTGAGGGTCACAAAACCCCCGCTAGCCTCCATGAGGGTCATGGCCCTTGCTTGGCCTCACCCAGATGTGGCAAGGCGGAGGCAGGTGGCAAGGCTAGCCTTGTCAGGGCCTCGCCTGACACAAGCAAAGGCAACCATGGCCTCGCCCATGGCTAGCAAGGCCGAGGCAAGCCTTCGCCAGCAACTGGCGAGGCCCTAGCAAGGCCATGGCCACCTTCGCCAGCGGCTAACAAGGCCCTGGTCAACAACAGCCATGCCACGTAAGATACCCGACATCCACGTCAATGATTCATGGCCTAGATTGGTTGAATTGACTCAATTGACAAAAATGCAAAAGGTTTATGACAAAATAAGCTCAATCGAAAGGTTTAGAAGTGAATTAGCACCAATGCAATCGATTTAGGACTTTTTTCGTACTTTTCCCCTCTAGAAATAGTAATTCAAATCCAATATTTTTTTCATACATGAGAATCATCGGTTTTCGTCGATACAAAAGTGTAAAATAGGTGATTCTAGATAAGTTATCCCTTGTTTAGCTCCGAATTGCCTAGATACAATCTTTTTTTCAAAAAGAAAATTGAAATTTTTTAATCAAGAACTGATTTAGACACGAATTTTAGGCTTGATACTAGACAACCGTGACTGTCATTGCTAAGGGATAATTCTATGTTCATTCGTTGTGCTATCGAGGACAGTTGCCGAAATAAGTTTAGGAGCCAATTCTCTTGGGGAGAGGACAGAGTCCTAGCTGCCATCATTAGATCAAAGGCTAAAATTTAATGTAGACGATGCATGAAAAGATAAAAAGGTTCATGAAAAGATAACAAAGGAGCCACGGGTATAATTGCAAGATTGGTTAGCGACTCAATAGTCCAACCTGGACAAGAAGAGAAAGTTGGAACTCGCCGATGGAAGTGTAAGTAGAAGCTCTTCCTCTCGCTTGCAATTATGCTGAGTCTCTTGGCATCCAAAAAGCAATTTTAAAAATCGATTACAATGTCTTAATTGTTGTTATCCAACAAAAGGGTATTTGCCCTCGGAGTATTCAACCTTCCTACTTCAACACAATCCAGGTTAGAGTTAAGCCGGGACCGGTAAACCCAATGATGAAGCTACTTATGTGCTTGCAAATTGGGCTTTAATCAAATAGAAATCGTATCTTTTTTTCTTTTTCATAATTTCCCTTTTAAATTAAAAAATGTTATATTGTTCTAATATTGGTACTGCTTCCGTTTGTACTTTGTAATTCTTTGTTTAAATGAAAAGTTATTTTTAGAAAAAAGAAAGCGCTGTTTTCTTTTTTCTTATAATCGAAGTGGATCCGATTTATTTTGCTTCTGTTTACGAAAGGCAATTTTGCTTGTTTGACTTTTCAAATGGCACTGTAGCTAAGTCATCAAATAGAAATGACCGCACTTTAAACTTGGATTAACTCAAAAAGACAAATGTCTCTATTATGATCGTAAAGTATAATGAAAGGCCCAATTTTCCTTTGCACTTCATTGTGCCCTCTGTCTCTTCTTTATGCAAACTCATATATAAGTCAAGTGAAAATTCACCTTCATGACCACAAAGGGAGATCTTTTCTTGGGCAAAATCCATAATTTATTGGATTGCTCAATGCTCCTTCAAGCTTTATTTTTTGGCACGGCCTTACACACAACAATCAAACCCCTCTATAACATAGAAGTCGCACTATAAAAACCTTTCCTCATCCAGAAGCTCCGAGGCAGAGCCAAAGGGAAAACACTAGATACAATACAAACTTTCCACTCATTTTACTCTGTCGTCACTCATAAAGGATCTTGAGAAAAGCATTTAGGCGCAGACATCGGGGTTGGCCATGAGGTACTCCTCAACAGCCTTGAACAGTCCCATGGCTCTGTCTTTGCCCTTCTTGATGTCCTCCTCCTTGAGCTCACAACCTTCTTTGACATGGTACTCGCTGGTTATCTTGCAGACGCATCCACTGCCAGCCGCAACGAACTTCACTTCTTCCACAACGCAGTCGATCTTGTCGAACTTGATATCGCTTTCCATCATGGTATATTTGCAGTAAAAGCTACCTGCATCCAGAGCATCAATCTTGTGCTTCGTGTACTTGATATAAGAGCCTGTTATGTATATTCATTAAAGTTAAGAAGTTAGTTCTTAATTCCAAGGTCTATGTATGGACTTGACATGGAAGAAGTGCAAGTATAATCCAACTTACTTTCACTGAAGTTGGTTTTCTTGATGCTACCAACTCTGCCATCTCCCTCGATGAACTCAACGCTCTTGATGCCCTCGGGAACAATCATGGGCAGGACATTGTGTGAGTCAAGGATCATAGCCTTGAACAGCCTCGACGGTGCAACCACACTTGTGATCTCCTGCGAGTAGGCGATGACTCCCATGTCTGCCTTGTGAGAAACAAAGAGAACTGAACTCGAGAAGTGTAGTGGAACGGTTTAGTGTGATTGCTAATGGAGACTGGAGAGGGCTTAAGCTGATGAAGATGATGAAGAGAACTACTTGGTACTTATAGGCAACTCCATTGGTTAGGACTCCATCGTCATTTAAAGTTCAAAGCACACCAAGTTGTACTAGCCGGCCTTGATTTAGTTCCACGTCACGACAAGAACGAGGAAGAGAACGGTACAAGAACTCGAGTTCCTCTTGTTGGAGTTGATGCCGAAAACACCTAAAGGGAAATTCTTTATTTTTTTCATAGATGCAAAGAATTAAATAGTTAGATTTAGTTTGTTTCACGTAAAATAAATTGGAAAATATTTTTCTAAAAATATTTACGTATATTACTTGCAATAATTAATCAATAAAAATATTATCATTATCGAAATAATTTATATCTAAACATTTTCATGGACGATGAAATTTTTTTTTGTCTATTCATTTTGTATAAGTAATACGAGAGATCCTTTTCAAGAAAATATTTTCTAAATCATTTATTTTTCGCGAAACAACCGTATCCTTAAATTACTGTCCGGTTAGGGAAGCTCGTGTCTCGAGCCATACTTGAAATTTCGGGTTTTCTTTTGCCAAGTTCATATTGGTTGACTTGCCACTAGGCCCTTGCAGTATGTTAATCTCCAAATTTTACCCGCATATGTAATTTTTCATTTCCATGACAAATAATGACAATCACACTCCATAAGAAAGTCAGATAATACGTAAAAGTCAGACAACCGAACTTTCAGTGCAAAGAGCTCTTGAAACAGTTGTCGCCAAATTGTGTTCACTATCATTGTGGACCTACTACCAAGTTGGTCAAGAGAGAATAATTTCATTTTATTAAATTTAGTCTCACCGGCATTAAAAATGTGAATGATTAATTTAAGATATTAGCTGGAGAGAATAGACAATGTTATGAAAACATCATCGGTAGCCATAGGGCCCTTAATCCTTTGACGGTGGAGAGGAGACTTTGGAATTCGTTGCTCAACCCTTTCAACTTCAAACTTGTCTCCTGGTTGAGTAGGAACCAAAGAAGAGCTGTTACGAGGAAAAAAATCAACAAAGTGATGCTAATCGACCATGTTGAGGTACATCTAGTCTAGATGGGTCTCGGCGAAATATAATTGCAAACTGAATAATCGCACATTGAATAGTTGAATTATCGATTTAAGTTAATAATTATATTAAACTTAAAATTCCTAGGCTTTAATTTTTAAAGTGAAACTTAGTCTAATTAGGATGCCAATGGTATCAAATTTTGACTCCCTTTTGGTGATCTCTCAATTAGATTTTTATTGTTCATCTTAACAAGTGGATCCAGATCCAATAATTGATTAGATAATTTCCTAACATATATGTCACTCATTATTTCCAGAGAGAAATATCACGAATCATGAGGATTGCCAAGTGAGAATGGCAGCTATTGATGTTTGGTTTGGCAAAAATATTGCTGGTAAAGGTTGTCGATGTGGGTGATGGTATGATGGCTTATGGTGGACGTCGTTGATGGTGGCAGCCGGGTATAGGCGGTGGAGAGAGAGAGAGTACTTAGGTTTTGCAGACGTGATCAATTTTGAGTAAGACATACCAAAATTAACGTTGGGACAGAGAGACTTGAATCGGTCTGGACAGAGGATCTTTATTAATTCCCACATGGCTTGAGCTGAATTTATTGATGCTTTCAGTCGTAAATTGGGTATTACTACCACTAAAACAATAGCCTTAACGGTTTGTGATTTTAAGATTTGGAAAGCAATTAACTAATTTGAGGAGTGAATAGAAACTCTATTAGATCTTTTTCTTATTTAATTTTGTGATGTAAAAGTTGAGTTTGTGGTCCGTTTTGTTTGGTCTTACTCTGTATAAGAGTTACAAGAATTAGCCCACATTGAAGTAATTTTCTCGTGAATAGAATTGTCCATTTGTTGATGACCTTTCTTTACTGAATTAAGTGGGGAAATTTACGTGCTACTATGCGAAAATCGTGTAGGATATCATTCTAGTTGTAACAACAAGAAAACTAAATAAATAAGAAAAACTAAAGTGTAACATGAAACAGTTTCTTTTAGCTGCAATACATATAAAAGAAATGACACAATAAACGAAAAACATTGACAATGATGGAACACCTATCGGTGAGCGCGAGAAAGTTACACCAAAACAAAGTACTCTGTTTTTTTAGGCATTTCCTTTTTCACACTCTCCGACGAAGTGACACCAAAACAAAACAGAGTCCTCTGTTTTTCTCATTCGCTCCAAAATTCTTTTGCCCGCCTTCCGACTCACATGCTATGCTTTTGTGGAATCCACAAGCAACTCATCCTCATCGACCCCGTTAGATTGCTAAGTTTTATGGCCGCGATAAACTCCAAATTCATCAAGATGGGAAATGAAGTTATGGTCATTGAGAATAGGGTTAATACCACGAAAACCCCAAAATTAGTACACATGTGACAAATTTACTCCAAACTAATCTTTTGACTGCCAAAAATCTGAAATTGGTACACCTGTGATAAATTTACCCTCTGTTAATTTCCGTTAAATTTTACCTTTTCATTTTGATTTGTTCCTACCTTTTACTGTTCGAAACAAACGCGAAAAAAACAAATACAGAACACAAGAATTTACATTGTTCGATCACAAGGTGATCGGGGTAAGTACAGCGCAAGTGCCATAACTTTTGTACGGAGGACACTTAAGTGCCATAACTTTTTTTTGGCTCACTTGAGTGCCATAACTTTCAAAAAAAAGATCACTTAAGTGCCACTTACGAGCTGGTCGTGAGGGCCCGAAACCGCGGCTTTTCCGGCCGAACAATGACCTTCCCGGTGAGGCGAGCACCACCAGCTTGAAGAGGGGGTGTCGGTGAATCATTCCATGGCCTCCGTTCGTCTCGAAATTTTCATTTTAGCCTCCGTTGACGAAGGTAAAAATGCTTCATAGTCACACATTTATCGAGCCTATTTGTGTGACTACGAAGCATTTTTACCTTCGTCAACGGAGGTTAAAACGGAAATTTCGAGACGAACGGAGGCCATGGAATGATTCACCGACACCCCCTCTTCAAGCTGGTGGTGCTTGCCTAGTCGGGAAGGTCACCGTTTGGCTAGAAAAGCCGCGGTTTCGGGCCCTCACGACCAACCCCTCTGACAAGCTAGTCGTGAGGGCCTGAAACCGCGGCTTTTCCGGTCGAACGGTGACCTTCCCGGCGAGGCGAGCACCACCAGCTTGAAGAGGGGGTGTCGGTGAATCATTCCATGGCCTCCGTTCGTCTCGAAATTTCCGTTTTAGCCTCCGTTGACGAAGGTAAAAATGCTTCGTAGTTACACAATTTATCGAACCGATTTGTGCGACTACGAAGCATTTTTACCTTCGTCAACGGTGGCTAAAACGGAAATTTCAAGATGAAAGGAGGCCATGGAATGATTCACTGACACCCCCTCTTCAAGCTGGTGGTGCTCGCCTCGCCGAGAAGGTCACCGTTCGGCCGAAAAAGCCGCGGTTTTGGGCCCTCACGACCAGCTCGTAAGTGGCACTTAAGTGATCTTTTGTTTGGAAGTTATGGCACTCAAGTGAGCCAAAAAAAAGTTATGACACTTAAGTGTCCTCTGTACAAAAGTTATAGCACTTGCGCTGTACTTACCCCCAAGGTGATCTACGTCCACGAGCGAGACAAAACAAGATTTCACTATAATCAAAGAGAGTACAGTTTTCAGAAGTCGAAAAATGACTTAACAAAACCTCACGGCTCACAAATCTCTCCCAAGACGAAAAACTCTCTTAATCAATGAAAAACCCTAGCCGCAGTATAAATAGTGCTCCCCAGAAAATTTTCTCGAGGGCATAGCCCCCGAACCCTCCAAGACATTTGTTTGTTTGCTCCAGCTTGGGCGGACCGCCATAGAAATTTGTTTGCTTGCTCCGCATCACAAACCAAATCTCAATTTTTTCTCCACTTTTGGGTCACACAAATAATATGTCGGGACGGGTGATGAACTGGACCGAGTACATAAAATTCAAGACATATTTAACATTTACTTTTCTTCTTTGCTAGTCAAATTTTCTCCATTATATTTGGGAAACAATGCTTTCTTTCCATGATTTGCAAAGAAGCACACTATAGCCTAATTAATCAATACTAAGTTGCATTAATTATGATGAATACAGTTAGTGGAAAATTTTATTTTAATAAATCAAATTGGATAAAATAAACAGGGTCCCGGTGTATTCTCATCAAAAGCAAAGTGATTCACTACTACTTCTTTTATTTCTTGTATTGCAAGAGTATAGAATTATTGTCTCATTAAGTTCCATTTCTTTTCATCTAACGACAATCTATCTTGCTTAGGAAAAGGATAACGAAATGCCCAATTTTCCCTTGCACTTCATTATGCCCTCTGTCTCTTCTTTATGCAAACTCATCTATAAGCCAAGTGAAAATTCACCTTCATGACCACAGAGGGAGATCTTTTCTTGGGCAAAATCCATGATTTATTGGATTGCTCCTTGCTCCTTCAAGTTTTATTATTTTGCATGGCTTTACACACAACCATCAAACCCTTTATAACATAGAAAACACACGATAAAAGCCTTTCCTCACCCAGAAGCTCCGAGGCAGAGCCAAAGGGAAAACACAAGGTCCAATACAAACTTTCCTCTCATTTTACTCTATCATCACTCATAAAGGATCTTGAGAAAAGCATTTAGGCGCAGGCATCGGGGTTGGCCACGAGGTACTCCTCAACAGCCTTGAACAGTCCCATGGCTCTGTCTTTGCCCTTCTTTATGTCCTCCTCCTTGAGCTCACAACCTTCCTTGACGTGGTACTCGCTGGTCATCTTGCGGACGCATCCGCTGCCAGCCGCGACAAACTTCACCTCTTCCATGACGCAGTCGATATTGTCAAACTTGATGTCGCTTTCGATCATGGTATATTTGCAGTAAAAGCTACCTACGTCGAGAGCATCGATCTTGTGCTTCGTGCACTTGATGTGGGAGCCTGTTATGTAAATTCATTAGAGCG